GACTGCATGGGGGTGACCACAAAGAGGAAATCATCGGAGCCCGACATGTGAACTGTGCTGGGGCGACACCGCCACTGAACGACGGGAGCAGAGTACCGAGCCTGAAATATGGCCAGTGCTACAGTGGGAGCGCTTGCTCCCAACCATCCTGTGGTGTTGGGTCCTCGTTGTGAAATAACGGTCCCCGCGTTTTCCTCCTTCTTCTCCTCCTCCTCCTCTTCCTCCTCCTCCCCCTTCTCCCTCCTCCATCACCATCACCATCACCATTACCATTACCATTACCATCACCATCACCATCACCATCACCATCAGCATCACTATGACCATGACCATGACCATGACCATGACTATCATCATCATCATCATCATCATCATCATCATCATCATCACCATCATCATCATCATCATCATCATCATCATCATCATCATCACCCGTTTCAGTACACTCCTCACACGTTCCGTGGCCCCATAGGGAGCCCCACCGAAGGTCCCAGTGCTACCGTCCGCATGCGTCCCCCACACCCAGTACAGCGTTTCGTGGCCCCAAAAGGAGGAGCCCCACCGAAGGTCCCAGTGCTACCGTCCGCATGCGTCGCCCGCACCCTGTGCAGCGTTTCGTGGCCCCAATGGGAGCCGCACCGAAGTTTCGAGTGCTACCCTCCGCATGCGTCCCCCGGACCCATTACAGCATTTCGTGGCCCCATAGGGAGCTCCACCGAAGGTCCCAGTGCTAATTGCCCTCCGCATGCGTCCCCCGCACTCAGTACAGCGTTTCGTGGCCCCAAAGGGAGCCGCACCGAAGTTCCCAGTGCTAGTTACCGTCCGCATGCGTCTTCCGCACCCAGTACAGCGTTTCGTGGCCCCATAGGGGGCTCCACCGAAGTCCCCAGTGCTACCGTCCGCATGCGCCCACCACACCCAGTACAGCGTTTCGTGGCCCCATAGGGAGCTTCACCGAAACCCCCAGCGCCACCGTCCGCATGCGTCCAGGAACACCCAATTTGGCACTATCACCCTCCCAGTGCAGCGTTACGTGGCCCATAGGAGCTCCACCCCGAAGCCCCCAGTGCCACCGTCCGCATGCGTCCTGGAGCACCGAACTTGGCATTTTCATTCACCCAGTGTATCTTTTCGTGGCCCCATAGGGAGCTTTACCACAATTTTGCATTTTCACCACCCAGTACAGCGTTTCGTGGCCCCATAGGGAGCTCCATCGAAGCCCCCAGTGCCACCGTCCGCATGCGTCCCGGAACGCCCAATTTAACATTTTCACCCACCCAGTACAGCGTTTCGTGGCCCCACACGGAGCTCCACCAAAGCCCCCAGTGCCACTGTCCGCATGCGTCCCGAAACACCCAATTTGGCATTCTCACACACCCAGTATTACGCTTCGTGGCCCCATAGGGAGCTCCACCGAAGCCCCCAGTGCCACCGCTCGCATGCGCCCCACACGCCCAATTTGGCATTTTCACCCACCCAGTGCATCTTTTTTGGCCCCATAGAGAGCTCCACCGAAGCCCCCAGTGGGACCGCCCGCGTGCGTCCCACACCCAATTTGGCATTTTCACTCACCCAGTATTGCGTTTCGTGGCCCCATAGGGAGCTCCACCGACGGCCTCAGTGCTACCGCCCGCATGCGTTCTCCTGGTCAGTGCAGCGCTTCGTGGCCCCATAGGGAGCTCCACCGAAGCCCCCAGCGGGACCGCCCGCATGCGTCCCAGAACGCCCAATTTGGCATTTTCACCCACCGAGTACAGCGCTTCGTGGCGCCATAGGGAGCTCCACCGACGGCCCCAGTGCTACCGTCCGCTCGTTCCCCCCCACCCAGTGCAGCGCTTCGTGGCCCCATAGGGCGCTTCACCGAAGAAGATTTTCACAATTGCGGTGCCCACAACTGCATTTGGTTGGGTCTTTCGCCGTGATAATTTTGAAGGGCCGAGAGCGTTCCGACCGAACAAACAGCCATAGGGCAGCACACATCTTTTGAACATCTGTGTGCGATAGGAACAGAGGTGGGCGCACGCTGGCGCAACAGGCAGGGGGAAAGGGGCGAGTGGTACCCATGCCGTGTAATTGCAAATTGGGCGGGGGATATGGTGGGAGAGGAACGAGGCAAGGATCAGCGGCGCGGCGAGGGGGAAAGGCAGGGATGGCGGCCCTTCTCAGAAGGCTCACAAGGCCACCCCCGGCCTTCTGAGAAGCTTTCCTAATAAGCCTTCGCCGAAGTTGCAGGGGGCTTCTCGGAAGGACAGTGGGCTTCTGAGGAGCTCCGTCGCCTTCCGAAAAGGCCTGCCCTGTGTTTCCCTCCTCAGCGCCCTGCTGACAGGGAGGGGGGGGGGAAGGGAGGGCGGGGGATGAGGGAGGCAAGGAGAAGGGGAGGGAGCGGAGGGACGGGAGCGCCCGCCCGCTTCCGCCGCCCCCCCCTTGTCCACCCGTCTGCGTATTCCTTCTCTGCCTTCCTTATCCTTCGCCTCTTCGCTTCCTCTCCCTCCTCCCTCCG